GATACCCATTTCGAGCCCTTGGATTTGCCGATGCAGACCCAAGTGACCCCAATCTCGTCCTCGGTGATGTCGAGAAGAGCATCGAGTCGGATGGAGAGGGCGAAGACTCAGTCGGCGTTGCAGATATGCTGGACACAGACGATGAAGCCGAAGCTCTTGTTGATGAATCGGTTGTCGCCAAATCAAGCCGGATCGCCGGTTTGCTGAACGAGGTCGAGTTGGAAAGCTACATATGGCAGTGGAAGGTATGTTGAAAGACGTTGTGTGTTGTGATGACAAAGTCAACTTATTAATCTGAATTTATGCTGACAGGGTCATCCGAAATCTTCGACGACAACCAATTAGCTGATATGGCGGCTCGAGGCTGGACCGTGTACCCTGAAAATGAGATTGCGGACATTGTCGACGACCCGGAAGTTGAAAAAATGTACGAAGGTTACTGCGGACCGTCAAAATATGTCTTAGCATCGGCGAAATCACCACTGTCCCTGTTCTTCTACTTCCTGTCGAGGGCATTCTGGAGGCACGTTGCGCGCGAGACACATCGCTACTGGGAGCAGACGTTTGACGTTCGCCTGGAAAAGGCTGTCGCGAAAGAGGCACAAGTGACCCATCAACCACAAAAGAGTATCGACAAGTTGCGTAGAAAGCTGGTGCGATTTGAGAGGATTGCGCCACATGAAATTGTTCAATGGATTGGTTTGATATTGGCGCACACTTTGAACCCTCGTAAGAGTTTTGAAAAGCACTGGTCTACAACGGAAGACGGCCTGATTCCTGCTGGAGCGTTTGGCAAAGTGATGTCACGAGATCGGTTTCGAGACATCACGAGATTTCTTCATTTCTCGGACAATTAGGACGCTGCAGCAGCTCGTGATCATGCATGGGAAATCAGACCAGTCTTGTCAACGGTGGAGAAGACATTCAAAGAAGGCTACGTTCTCGGCTTGACGTGTCATGGGTACGGCAACGTGTTAGAGTGGAAGTTGATATTGGCAGGAAATACGACGTCGAGGGTGCACAGTCAATGGATACAAAGAGCGGGCCAGCTGCGGTTGTCGAAATGTGGCGTGTGTATTCCGGGGACTTCCATATTCGGGACGACGTGTGGTAATTGCTGATCGCTTCTACACTTCGATTCCCCTGACACAGCAGCTCCGTACCATGGGATTCAACTACGTAGGCACAATCCAGACAAACCGAAAAGGCTGGTGCAAAGGCGTTCAGTATCTGTTCAAGAAACGACCAGCCAGGTACAAGCGGGGATCTTTCACGATGGCCGTAGCGAAGAGTAATCCGGGACTAACTGCTGTCGGCTGGGCTGACAACCGGTATATTTCCTGTCGTCTCAAGTGACCGCGGCATCGACAACGGTGCAGCGGAGGGAGAAGAGTGGAGCGGTGTCAACGGTGCCGTATCCTGGTTTAGTTGATGAATATCAGCGCTACATGGGTGTCGTCGATCGCCACGACTAGTTGCGACTCCAGTCGTACTGTGGTGTAGGGATTTCCAGATTCGACCATGCCAACCTACTTTAGGTCAAGAATCGGCTCGGTCTGATAACCCAGAGCTTAGGAACAAAGGATCACGGTAAGTACTCGGCGATCTGTCCGGATATGCTATCCGGATTGCCGCTGAGCTCAACGGTCGCCTGAACTCAGCTGAAGGGTCGGTAGAGATCCGAAACGACTACATTTCACTAGATATTTGTATAAGAAGCATAGGATTAAATAGGGGGAGCCGAAAGACTCCCAGAAGATAACAGAGCAGAATTTTTCTA